CTTCTACAGGTTCCAGTCTGGTCCCAAGAACCTCCCAGTCCTAGTTCAGGCTTGTCCTGGCACCGAGACCAAGTCCACATCTATATCAAATTAATCCACAAGACTAACCGTCTAGATGTTGCAAAAAGTGATTGGAATTCGTGAAAAATGTACCCTGTAATAAAGCGAGTATTGGAATTCGTCGATTGTAGTCGGTTTGTATTGATTTTGTCCTAATTTGATCAACTTTAGTCACCCCAATGCATGAATTACTCGGGCATAGGCATGACCCATTGACCCCTGTTAAAGTCCGGTGATGCCGTCTAATCTGATCCCGGACCGGCCAATTCTGGGGGAATTTGTTGAAGCCCAAGCCTGACCCGGGTAGTTAGGGTCCCGGTCCGGTTCCAGGAACCCGACCAGTCCTGGTTCCAATCTCGTATACAAACAAAAAACTATATACATTCAAAAAAACTACTACGTATGTACACTATGTAGAATAAACTATATTTGAAACATTAAATTGACTTGTACATTTACAAAAACAAAATACATTTGATCGTTGGGACTGATATCGGGACTGGGACCATCCGACTCTGTCCCAATAAATGGAACCCGAGATTGGGTACCGTATATACCCAGATGGGTACTCGGTCTTTGCTTGGGACCGGAAAACGGACTTCGTGCGGCCCTGCCTAGTACCAAACCCGATTCAATACCGGGTCTATGCCTACCCGTACAAGGTACATTGCACTCATTAGTTGATTACGGTATAATTTTCCCAAATCCAACAAGCCCAGTGAATCTTTCACCCATCCTGTTTATCATTGTGACTAATAAAGAAGATTTCATATTATTTTCATGTTTCTTTTTTAGTAACACATATTGGAGCTTCAAGACCCTATATATATTACAAAAATACGGAGTATATAGACATACAAAGAGTTAGAACTATGTTTGACAAACATCAACTTCCCAAGGATATAACTATATAAGCCTTGCTCTTGCGGTCTTGCCTTTCTCTCCCTTTCTTACAATAATACAATAGAATAACTAACCTCCAAATATTTTACAAGCAATGATTGGTCTGAAGTTTGACTCTCCAGGTAGGCCTTTTCAGAAACAATAAAAGAGCTCTTCCAAGAATTCAATATACAAACCAGCGCCTTTTTAAGAGATTACTAGAATTTCACCCGTGCGATGCACGAAACAAAACATTCAAAATTATTTTCATTTCAAAGGATTATATATATACAATGTGAGGATCAATTTTTATAAGTAATGAGTGAAAGAATAGATATATAATTTAAAACAATAGTGATCGGAGTAAGATGATACGAAAACAAATTATTTGTGATATAAAGTAAAAAACAAATGTCACGGGCTCATTGGTTCTTCGGCTGATTGTCAGATTTGGTTATTGTTACCCACTTACTACAGAGTTGTATTGTGAATGCTCTTAACTTTGATTTGATTAATATGTATTTAATTTTATTCGCTAAAAATGATATACTCATAGGGATGGACCTTGTCCCAGTCCGGTCCCGGTGGACCGGCCAATCCCGCTTTGCCATATTCATATTCATCAACCAACTTTTTTATTACTAAACATGTAAATTTGAATTTCAAATGCTAATTAAATTGTGTTATAATAAAAATAAAAATAAATAAGTTCATAATTGATTTTCTGGTTGAATCGGTTGAAGTTATTTGAGAATACAATTTTAGATATTTTTCATATAATTTATCACAATTAAACATATTCAACTTAATCCAGCCAATTATACCGAAAATTCATCAATTTTAGCAGATTCAACTAATGTTTGCCAAACGGGCCCTTAAGGGTTTTTTCCTCACCTAATGGACTTGATGAGAATGTAATCACTAACCCATTAAATCATGTTTAATTATGACTTAATTGAAAGCGTTACTTAATTATTCCGTAAAAAACTGATTTAATCATTAACCTGGAAAATAGTAATCCTTCCCATTAAGACGTCTAATAAGACGTCTTTTCTTTTAATTTTTTTAAATCGAATCTGGAATAAATTTAGATTAATAAATGATGTTTTTCATTGACATTAGAATTCAAGAGTAATGCTAAATTGATTTTTTTACACAATTCAAATTGTTTCTTCAACACACAAATAAAGTCTCATATATGAATATCACTTATTATAGTCTTAAAGACATACCTCACATACATCATAAACATGTTTGGTTCTGGTTACCATGATGCTCTCCCTTTGGTTGAGTTTGTTCAATATTCCTTCTTGGATTTGAGGCTTTCTCCATAAGATACTTTTTTCAAAATTTAAGTTGATCCTTGGGGAATTAAAAAAAAAAAAAGACATACATCATAATCCATGAAAAAGGTAAAAAAAACCCTTATTCTAATTGGTCACTTGGTCTTTCATATCTAATGCCTCGTACTAAACACTATGTAGTAGATGAAGTCCTCTGTCAAAGTGACTTTTTCTACCCTGCACTTTTCCATACTCCGTATTTTAATTGGTTACATTCAGCTCCATCTAAGTGACTCTAAGCACATTACAATTTTTATAGCATCGATCCCTAGCAAGAAACTTAGGAAAGCAGAGGGTAAAACCAATGATTATTAGCAATGTTAAAGATAATCCTTCAATAACACGAATTTCATGCATAAAAATATTCAAAAGTTAACCGAGTTAACCACAAAACCATATCATTGTACTGACAGGAACAAAATGAAAATGTACAATTTATTAGACTCGACATTCCTCTGTGTGCTGCAACAAAAGTATCAAATAGATCCTATTGTTTTCGGGGAATTCTCACTTTTCCTATAGGAGTTACCTATTGACCAGTGAATTGGGAAATGAGATTTTACAGTCAGTTTATATGGAACTCATGTTATTGAACACATTAGTAAAAATGAACAAAATGTATTCCGAAGCTTGTATATTGAAGCAATGAAGCATTTAATTCTAAATAGACTACTTACCTGCAGTTAAGTGAGTATACAGAAAGTTCTTTTGAGATTTATGCATTGAAAGTGAATTACTTGATTTCCATTTTCATCTTTAACAGTTTACTAACTATTTTTATATTTTGTATTTTGCAGGGGTATGCCATATCATCAGAATGAGTAAAAAAAACTTGCTATTCACAGGAATCCAAAACAAAGTCATGAAATCATCAGACTAAAACTTAAGAGATAAATGATAAAATCTATGTAGTGGAATGAAGTTTGTGAATTGGATTTCTAACTATAACAGTACAACAGGATGGTGTTTACAAATTACCTTTCATGGCTTTCAATAAATGGAGAAACTTGGGATTCAAGATTAGTGTTATTTGCCTACCAAGTCTATTTATTTTAAATTTATAAAAATTTGAAACATTTAAATTATTCCTCTGTCATTGAGGAACAATCAATTAAAAATGAATAATAAAAATGTAGATGATAAAGATCAGAACAATCAACTTAAAAAAAAATTGAAAGTTTGCAGGGAGTTACCAAAGTCTCTTTTTTTATCACTACTTTAGTGAAGATAAGGAGGCTCCCCCAGCATATGTGCACAAAAATATTATATTGATTGCTAGCTAATAACGCTTTTTAGTTGAATTAGGAGAGATTGTGTGAAAACGAAACTGCACACTCTTCCTGAGACAAAGAAAATATGGAGTATATAATTGTGAAATCTCAAATAAAGAGAGGCTTGCGACTAATCTCCCCGGTGAGATTATTCTGTATCTTAATTTTCAGGTTTGTACTTAAGTTTTGCCATAATTACAGTTTTAAGAATCTCACCCTACTTTTCTTCAATTAAGCTCTCAATTAATTACAGATTTAAGTTCTCAGGCTAGTCCAAAAATAATATCACCGTGCCTTTCTTCTTTGTGAAGTCCTCAAGCCGCAGAGATGCCACCAGTCTACCACAGGCCTCGTCTCCCGCCCCTTGCTGTCCACCGTCAACTGCGTCGCGTCGTACTGTCGTCAGCCGCCTGCGTCAGCCCAGCAGCCCGCCTACTCACCCAGGTGGCCCAATTGAACTGTTGATCATGTCGGCGGTGTCGCTTACCGTCCAAAACTCCCACTCCAGCCACCCCTACTGCCCTGCTGCTACCGCCCCTCCTTTGCCACTGGCAATGTCAATCTCATCTCACACTCTCAAAACCCAGAGAGAGGAGTTTAAGGGAGGTTATAAAGCTGAGTGTAAATCAGAGCTTTATTGTCGTTTCCTTAACTTTTCTGGTGAGATAGACCCGTGAAATGACCATAGGATTTTTGTATTCCAATGCACTACTAATCGTAATTACTTTGACCAGGTCACCCCGTTTTTGTACCCTTTTCTACACGTATCCTTTGAACAAAGCATCACCCTTTTTTTAACTCGGTGCAGTAACATTTTTTACCCCTGGTTGAGACATTTTTGAGCGGGAAAAATGGCCTATTTCCACCTCTTTTTATATAGAGATAGATTATTATTATGATCCTAAATCCAGCTTCCACTCTCCTTCATGAGTTCATGGTAAGAAGCTTTTAGATAAATATGGAGCTTATGCATACACACAACTAATATCTCAATTACAGAGAAATTAGAGAGGTGTAAACCTGTGATGAGAGCTTGATACATTGCTCTCCATATATTCACTCCACATCAAGCAGACCTGTCCTAAAATGGAGGTTAGCTCTCCATTAAAAGCTTCATAAAAAAACCATGAGGTTACATACCTATTTTTATTTTAGAGTCCTTAAACAAGGCATTTTCCATCTTTGTAATTGAGCCAAAAACTCACTTTTTTGGCTTGGGAATATGAAGTATAAAGCAAAATGACTCACTAAACTATCGACACTTCTTTGTTATGAAGCAGCAGTTAGTCCATGCACTTTTTGACGTGATTTTCACTATGGATCCTCCGGAAATAGTTTATATGTGCTTTAGTACATGGATAAGACTGCGTTCATCTGACCCTTCTTACTACACCGTAGGTGGGAGCCTTGCGGCATTGGGGTAATGGTAATGATGAGTCCTTAAACATGGCAACAAGAAAACAAAAATAGAAAAGTAACAAAGTCAAAGCTAGACAAAGATTGGATTTGGCAAAATGGGTTTGCCTTCAAGACGAAGGATGTTTTTTTGTCCAGTACCCATGAGTCGACAACTAAAGTTACAGTGTTACACATCACATAGATTTTTTTAAATAAAATAAATAACTACCGAACTGTTAAAATTACTGGGCAAATTCCACTATGCTGGTCAGATGTGATGTCAGCAGCACGACATAAATTCTCGGCTAAATTATTTTGCTCCCATGTCTACCTTTACGGGTGATGGTTCTTCCCATCCGAAGGCGTCGTTTGGTTAGCGCATCTAAGAGAACCTCCAAGGCATCTTCGATTGCATCAGCATGCTTGTCTAGCTCATAGGAATCGAAAGCAGGAACAAGATGAAGCTCGTGCAGGAGGCCAATTGCTGCAGCTGCTGTACATGTTCGGTCCCAAGATGGTTGGGGTCTGTGCTAAATAAATCACAATGCTTCAGGAAAAATAATAATCTTCATAACCTATGGTTTCAAAGCAGAAGATGGCTTGCATTGTGTAAATCTTACCGTAGTCTATGCATCAAGGATACCCCTGTGTTCAGTGAGATACAAGGCAACTCCTCTCCCTCACCCCAAATTGACTTGGCCCGTTCCTGTCCATAAGCCATTTCATATCAAGTAAAAGGGTGGATGCCAAAGTTCCTAAACAACAAGGTTATGCTTAAATCCTGGGAAATGACAGGGAACCAAAACAAACGATGAGGGAAGTTATTTGCTTGTATTTTGTTTTATCTTAGAAAATGATATACTATTAACTTTTAAGTTTGTTGCATATATATTGATTTCTTAATCTTTATATAATAGAAATGAATGCATAAATCATCATCGTCGTCATTACCCCAATGCAGCAAAGCTCCCACCTATGGTGGGGTAAAATGAATGCATAAATAAATAAATAAATAAATAAATAAATAAATAAATAAATAAATAAATAAATAAATGAATAAATTTCAATCTCATCAACTGGTCCTCATCTCTTTTATATTGCCATTTTTTAGGAATGAAATATATCAATGATCAAAGTTGTGCGTTGGCAAACATGAAAATAGAAACATTGCAATTAAAAAAGAATGGGGGAAGTATTTTATAGCAACAAAAAACACAGAATGATACCTTTAACCGGCTGAACATAGCAGTAGAATTGCTCCAGGTGCCATCAAGTAGAACAAAGTGAAAGACGTCATCAAAATTTGCCTGCATAATTACCCCACAAAACCAATATTCTGATTTATTAAGGTGGGTATATCTGGATAAACACTTTTAAAGTTACAACAGTATGCAACAGTATTATAAGATATAAATACGGAGTATATAACAATCAGGAAAAATATACCATTTTTGTCTTGCAATCTAGATCATCCAAAGGATTCTGGAAAAAGCTGTCTTTAACAGATTTTGTTGCAGCATTCTTATTAGGAAAGAGACACCAAACCTTGTCTTTCCCTGGTAGCATAAAATATCCAATAAGGAAATAATAAAGGTTGGTCGGCTTTGTCAACCTTTTCCTCTGCTTAATATTTTTAAAGTTAAAAACTTGGATCAACAACTCAGAGCTGACATAATTAACAGAAAAAGCAGGCATGCATCAGCTTGATATCAAATCAAAGAGGAAACACCAAGATCAGAAACTAAATTTGCTCAAATATAAAGAGATAATGCAAACAGAGGAAATTAGACTGTGGAATTGTAAGGCTAACACAAAATCCTGCTAGGGTAACAAAATGTTACCCATAATGTTACCCGGAATAAGAAATCATCCAAAGGATTCTGGAAAAGGCTGTCTGTAACAGATTTTGTTGCAGCATTCTTATTAGGAAAGAGACACCAAACCTTGTCTTTCCCTGGTAGCCAAAAATATCCAATAAGGAAATAATAAAGGTTGATCTGTTGTGTCAACCTTTTCCTCTACTTAATATTTTTAAAATAAAAAACTTGGATCAACAACTCAGAGCTGACATAATTAACAGAAAAAGCAGATAGGTATCAGGTTGATATCAAATCAAAGAGGAAATACCAAGATCAGAAACTAAATTTGTTCAAATATAAAGAGATAATGCAAACGCGGACATTAGACTATGTAATTGTAAGGCTAACACAAACTCCTGCTAGGGTAACATAACATTAACCCATAATGTTACTCGGAATAAGAAATTTAACTTAGCCTTTTTTGTGTGTAACCATTGTCAGTTCAGCACTTGTTATACTGAAGTATTATACTCCCTCTGTCCCATTGAACTTCGCCAATTTTCCTTTTTTGGTTGTCTCAAAAAACTTTGTCACTTTCCTATCAAAGCAACTAATTTGTGGTTCTGCACATTTCTCTCTCCTCTGCACAAATCTCAACCACGCAGTTTTTACTATTCTTATTTCTCACCTACTTTGCACTTGTCAAAGTCCACCGGGACGGATAGAGTATGTTTTTATGTCACTTTACATTTAAATCAAAAGAAATTGATGAGAACCTGCCAGTTTTAACGCATTCCACAGCATTTCCTCATTTTCAGAAATGCCAAATAAGCACAAATTAGCAGCATGAACACCAAAAACTTGCCATAACAGCTTTCCTGTGTTATTTTGGCGCAAGAAATCCTGTAGAGGATGGATTTTCTTCTTTAGCGCAGATCCACCATTTAAAATGTTACAGTTTAAAGAAAATAAAAACAAAAAAGGTCCCACCTTAGGATGCATATACAACCAAAACCGTATACGGTGCCAAGGATGAAATGGTACGAGCCTTGAACACATACAATCTTCCTTGGCAAGCCAACACTGCAGAATTTTGAAGGATCTAATAAGTTCAAAATGTGGATCAGGAACCAGAAAGTTTTGCTGACATAAACAGTGACATAGAGTGATTAAAATCAAGTCATGCATATACCTTCTGGCAAAGGTAATGCCTACTTCCAAGCAAGCGGCATGCAATTTGTCTAGCTGAAAAGAATTGAAGCTTCTTTTCAGAATCACCCAAGGACTTGTATTTTGCTCTATGTTTCTTATCCTCATGCACCTTGAAGTCCCCCTAGAGATAAGAAAAGACTGAATAATGATGATTCAGAGATTTGACTGTACAGAAATCTAACTTTCATTGATAAGATTACCTACTAAATAAGAGAATTTATTTAAACCCTCAATATAGTCGCAAAATTATAGCATTATTTTCCTTGAAAATGGATTACACAGGACCCTAATAACAATAGTAAAAACAGTACATTACAGATTTCCTCAACAAGCTTTCCACATCAAATATCAGAGACTCCATGGAACAAATTACAGAAGAAAGGATGAAATAATCCTCAGACACTCGTAAATATGAAGGGAAAGAGGAGAAAAATGATCTTTTACCTGAAGCTTTCCATGTTTGCCTCCAAAGACCATGTCGGCATCAGCGGTTCTCTCGAGCAGCTGCAAGTCTTCAATGACCTCAATAACCATAGCGGGTACGGTGGAGGTGCTGCCCCAACCCTGCCATTCCTCAAGGCTAATTGAATCCTCTCTACCGCTCTCCCTGTGGGTTCCTGTCGAGAGAAGGGATAGGGAAGCGCAGGATAAGCGTTTGGTCTCCATGGCTCTTGCCTTTGCTGAACGCTGTGGAAAGAAGAAGAGAGATCCCTCGATGCTGAAGAGGGGTGTATTCAGTGGGATGCCACAGAAGCGCATTGCTGTTTCACTGTGGGGTGGATTAAATTTTCAGTGGAGAAGTGCCGATGCACGGGCGTATCACCGTACAGCCGGTGGCAATTTTGTAATTTTGATGAAGTTCGTGGTTTCTCGTAAATGAGCATTGATGTAATTTTGATGATTATCGAGCATGTTCTTCTGAGTATTATGAGCCTAACAATGAGCACCAGTGATCTCTGCTTCATATTTTTTATTTCGGTTTCTTTTTATTATTTTTTCATTTATAAAAAATTCTTAAATTATGTTTATAATTAATTTCAATATGTGAATCTAATGTAGTATGATATGTTTGATATGTGCATCATTTTAAAATGAGCATAAAGTAGTACCAAATGAGCATACACTATTTATAAAATGAGCATAAAAAATTCAAAACTTTATTTGTGTATGCTCATTGATTTTGGGCGTTATATTTGATATGTGCATCCATTTTAAAATGATCATAAAACAATACCAAATGAGCACACATAATTTACAAAATGAGTATCAAAATATTAAAAACTCATTTTTGTGTATTCATTCATTTTGGGCATAATACTCATTTGAGTTTAACATATAACTCATTTCGAAATATGTATGAATATGACATTTTAAAATGAGTATTGCACTAATACCAAATGAGTATACATAACATACAAAATGAGTATAAAAATGTTCAGAAGCTCATTTTGTGTATGCTCATTCATTTTGGGCGCTATACTCATTTTCGTTTAACAAAAACTCATTTTCAATGTGTTCAATATTAATTTGTGTGAGTTCATTTCTTTTAGGTGTATACTCATTTGAGTTTGATATAAAACTCATTTGAGATCAATAGCTGCAATGATTCCTCAACAATGAATTAGACTCCCTTTATTTCCCAAAATCAAAAGTTCAAATAGCAAAACTACGTTAGATATATAGAGAAAAAGAAAGAGAGGAAAGAAAGGCAGAGGAGGAGAGGTAATTATGCAGGAGCCGGAGCCGAAGTCGCTGCCGCTGCGTTTGTGCCGGAGGAGAAGAGGTGACTGGTGAGAGGCGGCCACAAGCAGCGAACTGAAGGAGAAGGGGATGAACAGCGATGACGGTGAGCCTGATGCGAAGTCGGATTGAAGAAGAAAACGAAATCGAAGAAGTCTGGAGCGAAGCTTTGTGCGATGTTGGAGCGTAGAAACCTGGTGAGCCGTGCAAATTGAAGAAGCGCAGATCCAATTAAGTCCGGCTGTACCGTGCGCACGGTACAGCCGGCTGCACCATGTATTTTACGCCGATGCACCATTTGAGAATTTGTAAAAGTTGCCCTGATTAGCTCAGTCGGTCCGGTGAGAATTTTGCAGCCGATTTGGGAATTTTGCCATGAAGAAGGAGGTTTTGTACGAAGTAAAAGGAATTGATAATTGTAAAATTGTTAAAGTGCATGAATTACAAAAGTTTTCATTTTTATGAACCCAAAGTCCGTAAAACGTAACCTGTCACAGTTTAACGGGAAAACCGGTTACTTATCGATCAAAAGGGTTTAATTGAACGTTTTTTAATAGTTTGAAAACTTAATTGAGTGTTTATAAAGTACGAGGGTCTAATCGACTTTTTCGGCAAAGTACAAGGACTTAGTTGATAGTTTTCCCGCCCAATTTTAATGCACAAAAGTAACCGCAAAGTATCTTGTGGCATTCTTGTTGATCTCTGAAAGAGTCACATGTCCGAGTTTCATCTCAATTAAGTATGTTGACATTGACTAGTGCAAATATTATAATAAGTTTACAAGGATAATAAAAAAAATTACGCATTAACCCTTCGTGATTTAAAAATACGGAAAATCTCCTTGTACTATAATAAATAATGCGCAGAATCCCTATTAATGAAAAAATTGAAGTCTTTAATTAAACAAAAATAATCACCATTCACATATATTTAGATTTTTGACAAATTTACCTGCATATTCAATGATAATTTTAAGAAAATTGATTTGTAAATTGGTAAATTTATTCATAAAAAGAGTTCTATCCATTAATAATTACTCTCTCCGTCCCTTATAACTTTGCCAACTTTCCTTTTTTGGACGTCCTACTAACTTTGCCACTTTCCCTTTTAAGTAAAGAATTTGTGGTTCCAGTTAATTCTCTCTCCTCTGCACAAACCTCAACCACACAGTTTTTGCTTTATTAATCCCCGTGCCGGTCAAACTTGGCAAAGTATTGAGGGACGGAGGGAGTATAACACAAGGGTGTTGACGCATTTTTTAAATCACAGAGTACTGATACACTGAATTTCTATATCACGAGAGGGTTTTGTGCATTAAAAACCCTATGAACTTCTACATTTATGGATTGTAGTCAACTTTTAGGGTTTGCCAATATATTCGGCTTATCAGGCTGATCAGCCACTTTTTTATCAAACATGTAACTTTTAATTTCACGCGCTAAATTATGTAATATGGAGTAATGAAAAAAGTAAGGTTAGAGTTAAACGTTACCATAAAACATCAATCTAAATGTTTAATCATGTACTTTTTCTTAAAATTAGGATGATGTACAATAATGTGCTAACTATTGAGGGATTAAACTTATGAGCAACACCATTAAATTTTGAGCAAAGACTCTGAAAAAGTGTGAAAGTTTCGGAAAATCGATTTAGCTTAATGCCTGAACACTCAACAGATAAGGTTATTCATCTTCTTAGACAAAGTTGTGGAGAAGTATAATGACACTAAAAAGGATCTGCATTTGGTGTTCATTGACTTAGAAAAGACATATGATAGGGTATCTTGAGAAGTCTTTTAGTGAATCTTGACTACAAAAAGCATGTCACATAAGTATATGATATCAATATCATCATGAATATATATGAGGCTTGTACTACAAGTGTTCGTACTAGTGTAGGGTGGACTGCAGAGTTCCCTATTACTAACGGAGTGCCCAAGGATCGACTCTGAGTCATTTCTTATTTGTTATTATAGACTTATAGTCATGGATGAACCTACAAAGTCAATTCAAGAAGATATATCGTAGTGCATGATGTTTGGCGACGATATTATATTGATTGTTGAGACACAATCGACGGTTAAAGATGTTGGAAGTATTGTAAAAAAAACTTTGGCGACCAAGGGGATCAGACTAAGTCGAAGTAAGATCGAGTATATGGAGTACAAGTTGGTGGAGGTAGATGCAGTAATAATAGTGGGATTACTCTTGATGGCAAAGAGATACCGATGCGGTATGTTCCGTTATTTGGGCTTTATAATTCAGAAGGATGGTGAATTATATGAAGATGTATCCCATAGAATCATAGCAAGGTGGATGAAGTGGAAGAGGGTATCATGATTTCTATGTGATTGGGGTATGCCGACTAGACTAAAGGGTAAATTTTATCGAATAGCAATTAGGCCTGCATTAATGCATGATGTAGAGTGTTGGTGGTGAAACAATGTCACATTCAAAATATGAGTGTGGCAGAGATGTGTATGTTACGTTGGATGTGTGGAAGTATAAAAAGACCTCTTGAGGAATGATATAAAATGCAAGAGTCTCGATTGCAATGGTTTGGTCATGGCGTAGAAGACCGGGTGATGGCACAGATTCATGGTATATCCTCAGAGTTTGTAAGAGTCTCGATTGCATGATGTAGACCTCTTTCTTTTATCTTTTGTTTTATTAATCATTCTATATTTTCATGTTATTTTCATCATTTATTTTCCTATGTCCTTTAACTCTTTCACCTTTTATCTATCTTATGATGTTATGTTATTTTTATCTTACTACCTCCGTCAAATGGGTTGGGCACACAGTTTAAGATAGTGAATATTGTGTGATGAAGAGTTGTGCAAAGGAGAGAGAAATGTGTAAGAAATGTGTAAACCACACATTCTTTACCAAAAAGGGATAGTAGAAATTTTTTATCATTTAAACTTATGCAAAGAAAAGACATAGTGTACAACTAAGCTAAACCGCCGCGACACATTGATGATTTGATGTATACTTGAAGTACGCGGAGGACTAATGCTAAATTTTGCAATAGCCTCCGGGTTCATTTAATTAAGTTCAGTTTTCTTATCTTTCTTATTTATTTTATTCTGATATCATGAATGTAGTCGACTAAATAAACATCGAATCATATTGTTCTTGAGTATAAAACAAGAAAGAAACGACGGAAACAGTACTCAATTAAAAATTAAAAAAGGAAAAGAAGAAATGATTAAATAATTTCAAAAAATAAGAAATAAATATTAAAATACGGAGTCTAATACGGAGTATAACAAAAATCCACTTGACTAGAAGATAAACTAGAAGATAAAGTCATAAATTAGTGTTCACTTTGGGAGTTGGGATCTATATATACGCGCAGCTCACCAAGGCTTCCCCTTCGAGTCTCTCGGCATATAATCAAACACCTTAATCCAAACTTATCATTTTCTGCTTTCGATTATAATAACTTCTTCGCACCGCCAGTCGTAGATTCTCTAAACCTTTCCGGTTAACGCTCACTCAAGAACACCCCTCCAAGTCCAGATTTCATATCAAGCTCAAACCCCCCTTCTTCAACTCCGAACTCAATCCAATTTCGGTATGTTTATCTTCTTTCATCGCTTTCTTCATACAAGGGTTCTTAATTCCTGCTCTTCTGTGGCGATGCTATTTTATTTGTGAAACGGCAATTCTGTGGAGCAAGTTTTGTTTTTTTATGTATTTCCTATCAATCCTCTGGAACAGAGATCCAATTTCGGTGGTTATGTTTCTCAATCATAGTGAGGATTAATCTCGATCCATCATCTTTTTGTGTCGCTTCTAAGTTCTACTTGTCGTTGAGTTAGGTCAGTAGTTTCCACCGATTTTTTTTTATTTTTTTTTAAATTTATGTGAGGATTATTGGGTTGCTTAGCTAGTAAGCTGTGTAAATTACTGGTATGTAAGTATATCAATATCCTTGTAATGGATGTTATTCTGTGGACACCATACACAGATCTATTCTAATCCACCTGAATCACCTCTCCCGATCTTTGATTTTTTGTACTCCGTATTTTCTTTCTTACAGTTTTTTTTTTTTGCAATTAACACACACATGTACATGTAGATATATGTTCATTAGATATATTCCATGTCTCTTGGTTAACCAGCTGGATACAATGAATGTTTGAACAGAAACATGTTCTAAAAGAATTATTGAAAGGACCTGTGGATAATCAAACTTTATTTTAATCAGTAAATGTTTTTGGCAACAATGTTTGTTTCTTGGCTTATCTGGTGGATCCAAATGTTGCAGCAACAGTGACCCACCATTCAAGAGATAAATTAACTGAAATGACAAGGAATTTTGTTGACGTCTGCTTTTAGGACATTTATTATGATTTGTGTTGCTTTTGCATTGATTTCATAACAAACTGGGTAGTTGGGTAGGGTCTGTCATTAAAGACTTCCCCCCTACCTCTTATTAATTACTTGAATAAATCCACCTTATTGACTACTTAATATACTTCTCTTGTTCTTGATTGGGATTCAATATTTGTTATTACTACTGCGAACATACTGGACAACGCTTACTCAAACAAATCAGACCAGATTTAACTAGAATGTTTACTCCGTAATTAATAATACTTCGTAGTAAACTCCACATAATATCAAACTGATACTACATATGTACTAATCAGACGAAAATTAATAAGACCAGTTCAGACCCGAAATTGCAGTCCAGGTGACCTGGTCTTCAAAACAAGCTTGACATATTTTTTTAATTTCAATTTCTACCGTTATATTACAGCATATGGCACAGATTCATGGTATATCCTCAGAGAAGTGGAAATCCCTGTCATCGGCTGTGGGTGAACTGGAAAACAACCTTTGTGGAGGTTTTGACTGTAACATTTGCCTGGATCTTGTGCGGGACCCGGTGGTTACCTTCTGCGGGCATCTCTACTGCTGGCCATGCATTTACAAATGGATTCATTCCCAGAATTGTTGCAACGACGACGGAGACCTCCAAAACCCACTGTGCCCTATATGCAAGTCTGAAGTTTCAGAGAAGACTTTGATTCCCATCTATGGCCGTGGCATCACATCAAAACCAGGAAAAGCCCCCAATCCTGGAATCGTCATACCCCAAAGGCCTCCTCCAAGCCCAAGACACGATGATGATGGGAGTCGTGCGGTGGTGAGCAATCTGCGGGATCTCCAGCGTCCATCGCACCAGTCTTATCCAGAAAGCTATGCCGCCACCCCAGCTACACTTAACCTGAGTGGTGGTGGTGGCATGATAACCAATGTACTAAGTCATCCGATGATCGGGATGATTGGGGAATTTGTTTATTCGGGGATGTTCAGGAACCCTGAAACAGATTTGTTTGGATACCCAAACTCCTACCATGTAACCGCAGACGGAGTAACTACTCCGAGAATGAGAAGGCAAATGCTGGAGGCTGATAGGTCACTGGGGAGAAGGTGTTTTTTCCTTTTTTGCTGTGTGGTAATATGTCTTCTCTTGTTTTGATCACTTTGTTATTGTTATCAATATATATATGATGGATATCTGTAAAAAAAATCTCTAGCCCTTAGTGAATGGTGGATACAAAGCCTTAATTTGGTTCGTTGAGAAGTTAAAGAAGAGGGTATACTCCTAATTTTAGAATGCTGATGAAGAAGGCCTCTTTGGGTTTCATCTCTTGTGCACTTCACTTTGTTTGGTTCTTTATCATCAAAGTGCAATTGTAATTTTAGAGAGAGAGAGATTGTGTGCTAGACTCCATAATTGTAATTGGTTTCTTCTTTTTCTATTTTAACTCTTTTACTGTGTTAAACGAACTCATCTGGAGATGCAAATGTGGCTTCTGGAAGATTAGAATTTAGCTTTCCTTGTTTTGTTTTCTCTTACGTTGAAGTGACATTGAACTATTGAAGTATAGATCAACGGAAGAATACTTAAATTCGTATTCGTTGGATTAATAAAATATAGAGAAAATTGCTCAAATTAAGATTAAAACATCATATTCTTTCAAAAATAGGACCATGTACTTGGAGTTTGCAATTTTTGGGTGTTTGTCACTAGAGAGCAAAGATGATAATGATGTTTTTATTTGAATTGAATTTTTTTTTATTTGATTTGGACTGGTCTGATCTGATAACTGTTTGGGATGTATTTTGCCACTGTTGAAGTATGATCTGGTCTGAGACTAAAATAAATTCAAGAAAATTTTTCCCAAAAAAATTTGGTTTGGTCTGATAACTGTCTGGAGTATATTTTACAACTGTTGAAGTCTGATATGGTCTGAGACAAGTGGTAACATCTTACTCCCCTCGGAATGTGCATACTTTGTTGTTTGGCAGTAAAGAAAAACTTTCCCTCAAATTTGCACTTAGACGTGTCTTTTTTTTTGGATGAACACAAAGCTGTTCTGTTCGTCTTAATCTTATTACTTATTGCTTATTCTTATTTTATTCAGATCAGATCAGAAAAATTCAGATCAGATCAGATCAGAAAGATTTAGATCAGATCAGAGTCATTCAGATCAGATCAGAAACATTCAGATCAGATCAAAAACATTCAGATCAGATCAGAAAAATTCAGATCAGATCAGGAACATTCATATCAGATCAGGAACATTCAGATCAGATCAGGAACATTCAGATCAGATCAGGAACATTCAGATCAGATCAGGAACATTCAGATCAGATCAGAAAAGTTCAGACATGATTTATCCCTTTTTATTATAATAATAATTATAATAATATTAATAAAAATAATTATAATTATAATAATATTAATAATAATTGTAATTATTATAATAATAATAATTATTATTATTATTATTATTATTATTATTACTATTATGGCTGTTGTTGTTATTGTTATTAGTATTTTTTTGTTATTATTATATTACACGGAGTAATTACAATTAAAATTATAGAAATAAATATTATAATTATAATTAAAATTATAATTATAAAAATAATTATAACTAAAAATATAATTACAATTATAATTATAGCTTTTTTTTGTTTACTCTAGGAGACGTCTGGGGGAGTAGGTCTGGGGGGCTGAAGTAAACTAGGTTGAAACTCACCGCATTGAGTTTCTAACCCGAGACCTCCCATAAGGGAGAGTGAGTCGGCGACCAGCTGAGTTGGACCGCTTCCTCTAATTATAGTTATATTTATAACTAGTGTAATACGTATAATAATAATTATACCTATTATAATTATTATAATTATAATTATAATTTTTTTATAATTATGATATAATTATAATTATATTTAAATTATATATGTATTACACTAGTTATAATACATTTCTAATTATTATAATAAAAATTAAAATTATAATTATAATATTAGAAATATTTAAATCAGACCAGATCAGAAGGATTCAGATCAGATCAGGAACATTCAGATCAGATCAGGAACATTCAGATCAGATCATGAACATTCAGATCAGATCAGGGACATTCAGATCAGATCAGATCAGATCAGAAAGATTCAGATTAGATCAGATCAGATAAGAGACATTCAGATCAGATCAGATCAGAACTTAAAAAATTCAGATCAGAAACATTCAGATCAGGTGAAGAGAATAGCTTCTTAGACGTGTCTTGATAAGTGAGGAGGTGAAAATGCAAACACCTTCACATTAGCCCTTAGACAAAAACTGCACTGATGCTTCACCTTGATAGCGTATCCGGGTATGCGATACATATCCGATTTCGATACTCATTGATACACATCTTATATGTATTGAGTCTGTATCCATAATTTAATATAAGTATTGTGCTTATTTTTAAAAATACTGATACTTCTGATACCCGTATCCGTGAATCGATACACGTATCTGACCCTATAATCCTCATTTCATACACGACTTGATAAAAATTTAGTAGCAGCCCGACCACAATATTGGAATATTATAATTTGTCATTTTGTCGCTTAATGAGCTTTAATTGAAACCAAACTTGTTAAATGACTTAGATGTAAATACAAATAGAGAACCAACAATATTAGCTGAATTTAAATTGATATATGAGTACTTTAGTTCTTTTGGTTTAATCTTTGAAATTCTATTGCAATTGTTAATTTTTAGTAGGGGTGGGCACAGTCCGGTCCAATATTTTGCCGAACTCGTACTCGTACTGTTACTATTGAAGCGATTCGGTTCTGTTCGGTCTTAGACCTAAACCTGTTCGGTAGGGTCTTTTTTGAAAAGGGGCGGTACCACGCCATACTAATACAAAAAATGCCACTTTTTCCAAGTGTTTAAAGAAACGTTAAAGTTTAGCCATCCTCCAAAAATTCACATAATTTATCAATTTCATATTCCATATGACATCCGTTTCAAATTGATTTGCACAGTCAACCTTTTTTGGTCAAACAATTTCTTTTTAATCACTTAATTGGGATATCACTTTTAATTATATTCTAATTTGACCTTTCAAAAAAAGTACTTCATATATTCTAATTTGGATTTTACAACTTTAAAGAGATTTTAATATGAATTTCTAAATATGTAAATTTTAATTATAAAAAATTGTGTTAAGTATCATTAGGGAGGACTTAACATTAAGATTGACAAAAAAATGTTGACTTTGCAAATTAATTGGGGACAGAAGAGATAATTAATAAATTTCAGATAAATTATAGTAGTAAAAATTTAAATAATTAATTAAACCATACCTCGGTCCGGTTTGGTCCGGTGCCGGTTCTCATTTTATGAGAACCCGTCATGACATTGTTTGGAATCGGTACGGTCCGGTTCGGGACAAAAAATTTTGAGAACCGTTTCAAACTTCATTTATCAGACCAGTACCATACCAGTCCGGTTCGTTACCATGCCGGTTCAGTACTTTTGCCCACTCCTAATTTTTGGTACTATTAGTATTTTATTTATGAACCTCTAAATTTTACGGAGTGTATATTTGCAAAGTATACCCTATATTATTTATAATATACCCCCATACATGTACCCTATAATTTTTGAAATTATCATATGTATCAATGTATCCACATTCGTATATTGGTGTATCGACGTATCCGTATCCGTGCAATATAGATTTATTACGCGGTGAAAATAGTAACTAATTTTTAGGATGAATGGACTTGATAAGCCACTAACTATCAAGTCCATACATGTACCCTATATTTTCTCAACATTATTTGCTTCGTCCATCTATCTATATCATCTTCTTTAGGAGTCCACCATCCTCCCTCTCACACACGATGGAAGGATGCCAGCTTTAAAATAAGCTATGCCCCTAAAATTCAGTACCACCTAAAGAATTTGAAGACTCGGTTCAAAATATATATAAATTCTAGACCCCGCATTAATATAAAAAATTTAAAAAAAATCAATCAAAAAATTTATACTCAAATCAATTGAATACTCATTACATAATGTAATACTACGTAATTTTTCCTAAAACTTACTTAATACTTGATTTAAAGCAACACCTACAACTCATTATTCAAGCAATTTGAGTAAAAGGGAACTAAAAGGACCAACGAAAAAAATAATGGATCTATAATATTTTATTCCTCACTACTTGTATTTTGCTGATTAGTATTAATATATGATATTACTATATAATGCTAATAAATATTTAAAAATCTGGGGCCCCATGGGTCATATTCAGGATAACCTATTGAACCCCTAAATAACATGGTCTTGAAGCTTAAAGAAACAATCTTTTTGCATGTAAAATAAAAATTAATTCATTTGTAATTTGTTTTTAAAAAGCGTGCAAAATATTTTCCAACGTACTCTTTCTCCGAAGTAAAAATATTTTATATTATACTCCGTACCTTGCGAAATGTGTAAAAAAAGTGTTACACATGCAAGAATGCAATAATGCAACGTAATTGTTTTATATTCTACCATGTTATGACTTATGACAAAATAGAAATAAATTAATAATGTCAATGTCCCTATTAATCCAACACTTAACGTCTACAATGAAAACACATTTGCTTATTCAACTACTAATTTTATCATATGTTTCTTGATTCTTAATTTTAGTGTATTTTAATATATCTTCAACTCAAATGTTACAAATGTTAAACACATTTAAAAAAAACAATTAATTTTATAAACCATTTCATATTATTCAACTTTTTTCAATTGTAACTAGTTTAAGCTATCTAGTTTCGCAAGCAGTCGTCCATCTCGTTAGGGTTTCGTTTCTCCGCCGGGCATCTTAGGCTTGTGCGGCTACAAATTTTTAGCTTGCGCAGGTTTGGTTTTATGTTTTTCGCATGCGTCGTCTTCAACTACTCAACCAAGCAAGAAGAATTATGGGAGCCATTGTTAATCAATACGATAACTTGGAGATTGGAGGGGAGGAAGAAGAATTGGTCTCCGGGGAAGGGACCGACGGACGACGGTGACTGGATACCAATCAAGATGGAGCGGGATTCAGCGGTGCTTCTTTTTCCAGGGGTGTCTCCACAGATTGCGCGTGCAGACAAAGTTGTTGACAGAATGGGGGAGCCGAAAAGAAGGCGAGTTACAGATCAGAGAGTCCAAATGTGGAAGATATGCTTGCAGGGGATATGGTGGTGGATGCACCAAAAAACGCGGAAGAGGCATGCCTGAGAATTTAGGTCTGCCATAGTCTCCTTTGCAAGTCTTTTCGTTATAGTACTCTGTTTTTGTATTTATTTTTTCATTTATGTCGTTTGGATTATGTTTTTACCGGGTTGTGTTTATCCGTGGTGACTCTTGTTTGATTTTTACTTTTGGCATGTGGCAAGATCATGATTGGCTTACAGTTGCCCAAGTGGGGATTAGCGAATCATATTGCTCCTGAGTGAGTGATAGTTTTTGAGTCTGATCCCGGGGTGTATGACCGAGTAATGTTTCTGGTCTTTCTTGATTGTCTCATGTGTCCGGTCTTGCTGCTATTTCATTGGATTCTATGATCTTAGTATAAGTCATTTTTTCCATAAAAAACTAGTTTAAGCCAAAAAGTTAGCAAATATCATTAAATCGTTTTTTTTTTGAAGTTGTCCATTTATATCTGACGAATCTACCATAATTTCCTTGTGATAACAAGTTGAAGCACTTTCATAGCTCTATTGC